TCCAGATAGGGCCCAAAAAACTACGTTTTTAGAAACTTCTAGAAAACTTCCCCCCTTAAGATGCGTAGGAAGTTTGTGAGAATCTTGCGCGGGGGGTTCTGGATAATTTCGGGTATAAAAAAGGCGGAAAATGCGGCGAAGTGACACAGTTTTCGGCTTAGGGTCTGTTAATTTATTCTCGACTTTAATCGTTTTTCTAACTCTTATTCAACTTCACTGGAGAAATCGCGTTAGTCTCATCAAGTGAAACTGTAAGAGCAATACGATGTTTTCGCATCGAGGATTAGTGAGTAAACTTTTCTGACATATGTTTTACATTTATTTAGTATTTTTATGAGTTTTTAACTTCTGGAATTAAAACTTTTTAATAATAAAGCCATATGTCATCAACATTAGACAGAAATTTTGTAGAAATCAATAAAACGTTTATAATTTCTTTTCTGCATTTTATACTTTTCCTCTAAATCGATCTTTATATTAACAAAATAATATTTCATAGTAAATGCATAAATATGTAATGTCTCTTCTAATAATTTTAAATTATTAAATAAATAAATAATTTAGGGGACAAATTTCTCCCATATTGAACATCTGTTCGAGAATAATCTGCTTAAATAAGTTTCCTTAATCATTCCAGTTCTTAGCAGTGACAATCTCGTTAGCAAGCATCGCATTTGCCGGCGTCCTCGTTCAACCCGGCTATGAACATCAATACGATAGCAATCCACGCTATTTGCAACATCAGTCTGTTTCGCGGCACTGGATACGATCTCCGACTGAACAACATCGCGCGGAACAATTACCGGACCAAGAATCGACGCGATATCTCCCGGGAGTTCAGACAACAGAAAAAAATGAAGATCCAAAAGAGGTAAAGCGTAAAAGAATGGAAGAATCGAGGAGTAGAAAACAATTTATCTACCATATGGGCGGAGGCCGCTCTCTTCAACCCTTGATGAATTTATCCTCATTATCCTATTACTTGAACTGATGAAATGATATATGTTTCATTAACTTGACATTTGCAATATTTTATTACTATAATTTTATTGAAAGTTCAAATTTTATTTAATTTGATATTTTTAAATGTAATATTTAATTCGAAACACGTATATGTAACACCTAACAATTTGTCTTGTGCGACAAATATGTACGTCACTGTATTATTGACAAACAGCTTTTCTTGTTAATTATATAATACTGATATTTGTCGTGTTTTTGTACACGAATTGATCATGTAAGTTACTGAATATTTCATAAGAACGATATTTCTCCAGATAATACACAACCGAAGGAAAAGATCGGATCCTGCAAGCACCGAATCTAGTAAATCTAAGATTGTTGCACATGACAATGATGTGGCCGCGAAGTCGCCCTTAACTGACGTCAAACATTCTACAACCGATACTAATGGTAAATATTCAAAAGAACAAGAATAAAATTCGACATCTACAAATAATAATTCACCGCTTATCTTGAAAGTCGTGTAACAGCTTATACGAGTTCCAATGAAACGCGAACGTAAATTAACGTATCGGTATTAATGCGAATTCAATGTAAACTGTTTGATTACAGATAAGCGTGTAAAAAACTGTTCGACTAAGTATAACATCATATTATCCATTTTCCCATTCCTGGGTTTCACTATTTCATCAACAAACATAACACTTCCAGAACACGAGTCTGCCGATACTAATGGTAAATATTCGAAAGAACAAGAATAAATTTCGACATCTTCAAATAATAATGCACCGCTTATCTTGAAAATCGGGTAACAGCTTATACGAGTTCCAATGAAGCGCAAACGTAAACTAACGTATCGATATTAATGCGAATTCAATGTAAACTGTTTAATTACAGATAAGCGTGTGAAGAACTGTCAGACCGAGAAAAATTTCGTATTATCCATTCTCCCATTCCGGAATTCAAATATTTCATACACTGGATTTCCAGATAGGGTAATACACATTCTCCCATACCTGGGTTCAAATATTAAATTAACAAACATAACAATGAGACGTTAATTTTTATAAGCATATATTCTTCCTCCTTTGTCCGCTTGGTAGACGAACTTTTATACATACATATTCGATTTTCTAAATAAGGAATAAAATGTTTATTTCAAAATAAACATTTTAATAAGATCATGTTCTTTTCGTTACATTTTTAACATGCTATAAACCTTATCATATCATAAAACTCTAAATAAAAAACTATTTAGACTTACTCAAATTTATACATAATATTAGTAATCTTAATAATTTTACAGTGTTGGAAAATTTTTACAGTTTTGTTAAAAAAGATCCTTGTTAAAATTTTTGTGTAAAATAATCAACACATACATGTGTAGATTTAACATATATGCCTGCTATGTTAATTAAACTTTACAAATTTGAAATGTAAAATTGTTAAAATAATTTAAAAAATATGTTAAAGTAACACAATTTGAACGTATTTATTAAATGTGTTAAAATTTACAGAAAGAGTGTTGCTTTTACTCTGTAACAGAAACGGGAAAAAGCGGAGAATATTGAGTTACGGCGGAAACTCGCCGCCATAACTCAGCTACCGCCACTGCCATCATCATCCGCACAGTCCGCACAGCCGGCACTGGGAGCCCAATCAACATCGGCACCGGCAGCTTTATCAATACCGATAACGTCATCAACAACATCGATACCAATAAATATCGATGTTCCAATAAGTATCGATGTTGCAGGTTCAATAACTCCGCAACAAGCAAAACGTAAGTACAATCAATCTAAAAATAGCTAATTTTCGAATAAGATGGTAGTCAATCTTTTAGCGTTTTTGACTGGGCCCAGTTTGCTCGCTCTTTATTTCTAAAATAAATTTGTTTATTATATAGCTAAAAGAGGGCAGAGAGCCGGGAGAAATCGTGGAAGAGGAGGATTTCGCGGAAGAAAATTTCCGAGATTTCCGAGATTTCCGAGATTTCCGAAATTTCCGAGATTTCCGAGATTTCCGATATTTCCGAGATTTCGCGGACAATAAAATAGAAGGAGAACAAGAAGAACAATTAAAATGTACACACAAACAGTTTATTTGTAACACACGCACACATATACGCGCGCGCGCACGCACACGACACGACACGCACACGCACACACACAAATACATAGCAGAGAGGGTTTGGAGTCATTAACTACCGCGGGAGTGACAAACCGTGGGGTCCTTATTATCTCTGCTGTGACACATACACATCCAACCCTCCCCCCCCACACACACACACATATGCGTAAATTATTACACATATTAAAAAGTATATTGTAATCGTCGTTGTAATTGCATATAAATTCTATTTAAAATATATTAATATAAAATAAAATATGGATTGTTCACCAATTTGCATAGAATGCATACATACCTATATTTTTCTCTCTTTTCTATTCTCTTCCTCTTGCTTTTTTCTGGAAATTTTTTTCTACCTCATTTTTATTTTCTTCTGTAAGCTTTCGTTTCAGAATTTCAGTGGACCAAATGTACTCCGCGAACAATAACTAGATGCAACACAAGGAATTCTTCGAATACGGTTTAACCAAATTATATACGCCTCAACTTTCAAGAGCCGCGCCGTTTTAAGATAAAAATTATTATTGAAATTATCTTGCAATCTACGTTATTAAACACGAGGCATTCGAATTCATCACCATGATATTACCATCACATCGATAATAAATTTAGAAGAGAGAGAGAGAGAGAGAGAGAGAGAGAGAGAGAGAG